CCCGTCCACCCCGTCCACCCCATGCCTACCTTCTTGTGTCTTGTTTCCAGTCCGTGAGGCTTCACGACGTGGCGGAAGAGACCGGCACTGGGTATGGTGTCGAGATCGCACACCTGCAGAAGTCGTCTGACTTGCTCGCGCGCGCCTTCAAGCAGGCCCACAGGTACAAAACAACAAGCAACAAATTTACTCGGATATTTTGTGTGTGTTTGGTTCTAGTCTTCTCGCGGCTGTTATTCGAAACAGGCACCACCTTCGGGGGCCCCGCCGAATCATAGAATCATGACAACGACGATGACTCGTGATTGTTAGAAACAGGCGCTTCCTTCGGGGCCCCCGCCGAATTGTGACAATGACGATGACAATGGTGCATGCATCCATTTCCTTTGCCCCCTCGATGGCGCGTGCCCTGTTGCGGCTCCTCAGGAACTCCCTTTCCTCGACGTTCACTACGAAAGCCGAAACGCTCAAGGGCATCGTGACCAAGGCTCTCAACTCTCGTGCCAAGGATAACTCCACCATTTACCTCGAGCCGGTCCCTAGCCAGGCTACCCTGAACGCTGTGCCGGGCCTTGGTATGGTGAAACCGACTCCGTTTGTCGAGAGCACAGGCGAGTTAGTTTGGTCCAGTGGTTATCCTCTCTCCTTTGTTTGTTCAGGTTTGAGCATGAGCGAAGGAAGGAAGGGGGAGAGGGACAGACAAGGGAAGACTGAGACCGAGAGACAAATAGAGAGCAGACACACAGACAGGAGAGGGCTTGATTTTGTTTTTGTTGCCAACGCCCTTCTATTGTGTCTTATGTGCGCGATGTTTGCGTTGGTGCATTGTACTTGAAGTGTGAAGTGTGAAGGATTCCTTCGTGTTGGTTTTCTTGCCGACAAGCGAGCGGTCGATCGCATGATGAAAGTATACAACAAGTCGTCTGTCTCTTGTATCTTCCTCTTGGGGCCTGGACCCTGGATGTGAGTCACTCTCTCTATTGGGACCTCATCGTTTCAGGATGTTGTCCGTTTGGAGCGCAAGATCTCGATCTCGCTGACACCACTGTAGTAGACCGACCGAAGCGTGTGGGGAGTAGATTACCCTCTCTTTCGATTTTCCATGAGTTTAAGCCAATCATCCGCTGTTTATGTGAAACAAGCTCCTTTTGAGGTTCCGTGGATAATTCAACCCCCCGTGTCTATGCCAAACATGCTCCTTCGATTTTCCGTGGTAAATCAGTCTCCCTTGTCTATGCCAAACACGCCCTTTGATTTTCCGTGAGTAAGCCAATCCCCTCTATTTATGTGAAACACGCCCCTTTTTTCTCCATGGATAAGTCAATCCCCGTTGTTTATGCCAAACAACTCGTTTGGTTTTCCGTGGATACAATTAATCCCCTTTGTGTATACCAAACAAGCTCCTTTGGTTTTCCCTGGATAAGTCAATCCCCGTTGTGTATGCCGAACAAGCTTCTTTGGTTAAGTCAATCCCCTTTGTTCAAACGAAACAAGCTCCTTTGATTTTCCGTGGATAAATGAATCCCCCTTTGTGTACACCAAACAAGCTCCTGTTTTCCCCATGGATAAGTCAACCCCCCTTCGCTTAAGCGAAACAAACGGTCTTGGCACGTGGTTGATTAGCTGCCCATACGTGTGAATCGGTTACCTTCACGCCAGGCCCCAAAGGAAAACCTCTGTTCGACGGGCTCTTGTCAAAGAGCGCCAAGGCCGCGCTAGAGGAGTACAAGAAGAAGGAGGCGGCGGTGGTAGGGGGCATGGACAGCCTTGCCAAGGAGAGCAGCGTCGCCGCCAGGGATCAGCTCAAGGCAGTGAGTCTTGCGTAGGCTGTAGTGGACGCAGGTTTTTCTTCGCCAAGTGAGCAAGCATACCTGATGAAGTAAAGAATCGGCGTGGTATGTGTTAGGGTCTGTGTGCCCCCTGCCTGGCATGTCTTCCTAGTGAACTTTCTATCTTTTGAGTAGGCAGTCAATCCTGCGTATGGGGTCTGTAGGGGTCTGTAGACGATAGGTGGCGCGGCATGGTTTTGACTTGACGCCTCTTCTCTTCTAGAGCGACTTCCAGGATGGATGTGTCATGTCTCTCTCACCCTGCCCTCGCTCTCTTGCCTGTGGTAAGAGAGTAAGCCCGACGTATACCTGTCACCCGCGCCTTGTGTCCCACCCCATAGGGGGACCCCGACTGTACCATGCTTCCCCGGGTAACCCTTAAGCCAACGCAGTTTTTCTCGGCGCTGGTAAATGGAGGATAGGATGGTGTCATGCTAGGGGCCGCCTTTCGGCACTTGTGCCCGCGTGCATCGAATCACTTTCACCATCAAGCGGAGAGAGGGTGAACATCACACATGACATGGAATAGCGAGAGGCTCCGACATATCATCGCGCTACTCTACAGTATCACATACCCCAAGAGGCCCCGCAGATGTGTGTGTGTGTGTCACGACCGAGTACTGCCGTACACCCAGCATGGCATTGCGTGATATCAGCCCCCGTGCTTTGTCAACGATCCCCCCCCTCCTTTTTCGTGTCGCGTGTTGGTTGTTGTTTGTCTTGTATGTCGTGGTTCCGTCTTCTTTTTTTTTCCTTTCGCGCATTGGTCTGTTGTGTCTCTGGTTTGTCGCCAATCCCAACCCTTGCTCGGCCGCGTCTTGTTGTGTGTCTTGCTTGTCGTTGTCGTCGATCCCTCCCCCGTTTGTCTGTCGCTTGTCATGTCGTGTTTGTCATCGACCCCTCCCCTTCTTTCTGTCGCATGTCGGTGCGTTGTTGGCTGTGTTGTGTGTGGTGTACGTGTGTGTGTTAGGTTGGGCTGCCAGGCACAGTGGAGGCTCACGAGAGTGTCGGAGGTGTTCCCGAGTCGGCCTGGAAGAAGGTACAAGCTGTGCAGCAGGGAGGCGGCGGCTTGAACGAGCTCAAGGAGAAGGTCAGTGGTACAGTCATCCCTCGGTTGAGGACACAGTTTTAAGGACACTCCCCCGGTTGAGGACAGCTTTTTTCACAGGCATGGTGGCTCGCAGAATGTACAACACAAGGAGGGGTGTTAACGTTGAGGGGCACTTCCCGGCTTAAGGACACCTGTTTAAACGAAAAGCCATGTGTGTCCCTAACCGAGGGAACGACTGCATCGTTGTATCACGAGTGTGTTAGGTGGAAGTTGAGCCTACTTCTGTTGGCGATGGTGGTGTTGTTGTTGGCGAAGCTTGACGTATCCCAGCCGCGGCAGCTCCAATCCGTCCGAAACAACGCAGTCTCAGCCTTAGAGAAGGAAGGGGGGGGGGTGACTGCGGTCTGGGTGGTGTTCCTAGGACAAGCCCCCGTGCACCCTCTGTACGAGACATTCAGGCCTGCGAGAGCTTCCTCCTTTGTTGTTGAGGCGCCCGTGTCCTTCTCCTTTAGAACTGCATGGTTTGTGAGCGCAGGAGGCGCCCTCTTCAATTTTGTTTTATAGGAAATGGGACGACGAAAAAAGAAATGGCAGTTTCTTTCAGACACTTCATGGTACGGTGGTAGATGGTACCTTGTCAAGAAGTGTCATCACAACAGAGGAAGGTGTTCAACGAGGCGCCTGGCTTGCGATTGGAGCACACTACACAAGCCCTGGCAGATCAGCCAGTTAGACGTTAGCGCTGTCGACGCTGAATATTGTTTGTCAAGAAGCGTAACACACACGCGCCCACGCACAGGTGGCTGAGGTGGAAGGTTCCGCGGAACGCGCTCGCGCCACTCTGGAGACCGTCGAGAGGACCTTGGACGAAGACGTACGCAAGGACGAAGCGTGAGTTTTGATAGTAGTATAGTACTTGCTGCTGTTGTTGTTGTCTTCATATCAAAAACCGCTGTCTCTGCTCTGCTCAGTAAGACTGTCTAGTGCTTTGTGTGTCCTTCTCCAGAATCTGAAGAAATTTGGGGGGAGGCTGTAAGAAGACTATGCAGTGACTCCTGCCGGGCCTGTCGTGTCGAACAGCCCGGCAGAAGACATCAGCTTCAGCATGAAGCGTAAGCGGTGACAGCTGTTTCTCCGTTAGAGCACGTGTCAGCACAACCCAAAACGTCAGATTAAAAACAGCAGACCGCAGCGGCGGACCAGCTGAAAGCTGCGTATTCCCACCAGATTGTGAGACAGCAGAGGATGGATGGATCTGTGTGAAACGTATCTGTAGGTCTCAACGAAAATGACAGGTACAATAGCGTGCCTGGCCGGCAACGTAGCCGTAGGAATGTTAATTTCTGTGCTGCTGTGGTTGTTGTCTGTAAATTACTGTACAACTGCTCTTTCAGGTTCAGGAAGCGGTATTCAGGGGAGTACGAGGGCATGTCTACGTCGGAGCTCGGGGGAGACTTGCGCAGAGACGTGGAGCACTACCGAGGTCTCTGGAGGACCGCCAGGAGCGCGGACACCAAGGTGATCAGATTTATATTTTTCTACAAAGAACACGACAAACCCATCCCTTCTACAGGTAAAGAGCCCGCGGTAGATGACCGACTTATTGTGTTGCTACGCTTCACCGAGCAGCTTACAGCGTTTTCTTGTATACAGCGGCGGCTACGGTTTAAGAGAGGGTCGTGACAAGCGAGTATTTTTCTCCTAAATCCGGTTTTCTCTTAAACCGTACGGTGAAATGTACTTCGTATTTTTAATGGTCGTGACGTCGTGTCAAGACAGTTTGACTCTTTCACTCTTCTCCTAAACCGAATAGTCACTCTTGAACCGGAACCGCCTCCGTAGATACACAACACGAGAACGATATCTGCCTTGCGGACCTGCAGGTGATAAGTCGCATCGAGGAGCCATCCAACCGCGAGGGGCTTGAGATGCTGGAGCTTACGCGCGCCGGATTGGACGCGGCCATGCCCGCAGGCAAGGGCAAGGGCGCCGGCCAACAAGGTGACCTTACACGACGAGCAGGGAGCTGGGTTATGGCTATTCCGTCTGACTTGAGGAAAACACAACAAAGTAACCTCTTCGGCAGATAATAGTCCGTCGTAGATCAGCAATGGCTTTGTATTATTGTACGGTGACCGGCTTATATTCCTACGGTTCCCCGGGCAGCTTCCAACGGGCCGAAGCTAGCGCACCTGCCCTGGACTTTTTGCGTGGTGGCAACACTCCTCTCGCTCGCGTCCTCTGGGCGTGTTTTGGTTCAGGGCATTCGGTCGACACGGCGGCGCTGTCGGGGAAGCTGGGGGAGCTGGCGACCCTACTGGCGGACAGGGATGCCAAGATGACGCAAGTTCACGAATACGTCAAGAACAGGTACGGCGGCGAAGCACCTCTTGATCGTGCTGGGATGTGTTTGTTGATAGCATAGTTGTTGGTGTCGTGGGGGTGTGTGGGGGGGGTGGTTGTTGTCGTTAATGTTGTTGTTGATGCCAGGATGACACAGGTTCAAGAGTACGTCAAGAACAGGTACAGTAGTGCATCTACGGCGAACCCCGTTTGTCTTCGTGCTGGGATGCATGTAGATAGCTGTCGTGTTGGTGTTGTTGCTGTTGTTCATGTCTTCACGTTACAATTAGTTCCCTTCTATGATCGAACACCTTCTAGCATCTGTGCCGATCCAACTGACGCGGGCGCCTTGCATAGTCACCGGCTAAACGCCACCCAAAGCAGAGGGTGCACACTAGGAAACATGAAGAGAGCAGAAGAGGGTTTTCGCATGCGGTGGGGGGGCCGGTCTGGCGATCCCAAGCGTCACCACGAAATGTACGCTATTCGGGGCAAGTCGCTAAACCGAACAACCAATTATTTAGGAGTACGACAGCAGTTACACTACCGGAGTGTGGCGGTGCGACGTGGTTTTGTGGTCGCTAAACAGGGCATGTCGCTAAGCAGGGGGTCGCTAAGCAGGGGGTCGCTAAACCGGGCCCACTGTTGTGCACCTGGTACTCGTTTAACGATATCACACACCTTGGCGGAAGGCCAGGTAGGAGCGCTAGACGTCCCAGCTAGTACCAGTACCGCTGTTCTGTTTGAGGCGGCCGCTGTTTCTGTGCTGCAAACACGTATTCATGCCTACCCTGGGACTGTTCATATCAACAGCAGTCCAGTTGAAAACTGAAAAGTCATGATGTGCTTGAGTGTGCCTACGACCCCAGCAGATGGCGGGGTGCAGATGACGCTGGCACTGCTGTAGGTCTCGAGTGCGCTGCTGCTGTAGCAGGTCTTGCGTGAAGACCTATTACAGCAGCAGCGCACTCGAGACCTACAGCAGCGCCAGCGTCAGCTGCACCCCATCTGCTGGGGTCGTAGACCCGCTCAGGCACGTGATGACTTTTCAGCTTTCGACTGGAGTGCTTTTGCTATGAACACACCATGCCACACACACATCGTATCAGATCATCATTTTCTTAACTGGCACCAGTTTTTGTGGATTACTCGTAACCAAGGGTTTGACGGCCGTAGCGCACGGCGTTGCCGCGTTTAGGTAGAGATGGAGTTGGGGTTCAACGGCTGTACCGCTAGTCCGGCAGTCTGAATCACATGCATACGCATAGCCCTGGAACTGGTTGCTCTATCTATCTATCTGGCCATTTTGGAATGTTGGAATGAATCATGAACCTTCTCGGAGGGGTGTTGCGAGTTGAACGGGTGAGGGTGAGGGTGAGGGTGAGGGTGAGGTGGAAGAAGTTATCAAGAGCCTGTTGACGCGGCTCCGATGCACGCCAAAGCACATGCTCTGATGGTCTGTGGGCGGAAACGTGTCCTAACTCTTTGGCGAAGAATTTCGAAGCAATGAAGACGTTTGTGTGTGTTACTGTAATTGTTGGAGGGAGGGGTGCGTTGATGAAGTTTCTGTCGTGACGGTTGTGTGACGGACGTGACGCCTCGTACTGCTGGAACATTTCAGGACCGTCCCGAACGAGCTGGCATGTGGCGGAGATGAATACCTTTGTGTGCCTTCCTTTTAAAAGATGTGCACATAGCATAACATGGAAGAAAATGGACTGCCCGTTGTGAGATATTACCGTACAGTATCCCGTTGAAGGCTGCTGATGAAGTCTTACAATAGTCGTGACAGTTGTGTGACGGCAAACTGCTGCCCTACTGCTGTCGCCAACACATGTGATGATGATGCAATAATATTATTGGAGCACCAATTAGCGGGTCGAGCTTCCTCTAGACCCTCAAATGGCCTGAACCATGTCAAAAGAGGACAAAAGGAAATGTAAAAACGATCCTCGTACACTACGGCACCCTTGAAACACCAGGACCTATCTGCCTCTACATGTGCGCTCGCGCCTGACTGAGAAATGGGCTACTCCCGAGAGGCAACCGGCATGTATGTGCGTCTCACCATGTCGCTGGCTGCTATGGCCTTGGTGTTCTCACATGCTGCGATGGACGAGCACGGTACTGTGCTTGGAGCTCGGGGCTTAGTCCTTTCGGACAACCCGATCGTCTCCACGGCCAGCTCCGTTATAGTCTCCAATCCAGACGCAGCTGATAAGGTACATGAATTATGTGCATGTACCTTCTCAGCTGCACCTGGATTGGAGACTATGATGGATCTGGCCGTGTATACAATGGAGTTGTCGGAAGCGACTTAAGCCTTGAGCTCCAAGCACAGTACCGTGTTCGTTCAGCGCAGCATGTGAGAACAGATAAGCCCCAGCAGCCAGCGACATGGTGAGACGCACATACATGCCGGTTGCCTCTCGGGAGTAGCCCATTTCTCAGATGGTGTGTGTGCGGAAACATGTCCTGAATCTTTACCGAAGAAATTCGAAGCGATGAACGACGGTTGTGCGTGTTCCCCTTGGAAATTACAATTAATAATATGCACATAGCATCAAAGAAAATAGACCACCCCTTTGAGGTATATGAAATACTGTATCCCGTTCAAGGGAGGGGTTCGTTGTTGGAGTCTCAGTCGTGACGGTTGTGTGTCTTCGTCGTGACGGTTGTGTGTCTTAGTCGTGACGGTTGTGTGTCTCAGTCGTGACGGTTGTGTGTCTTAGTCGTGACGGTTGTTGTGATGGACGTGACGCCTGTTGCTGCTGGAGCATTTCAGGACCGTCGCGAACAAGCTGGCGGTGGCCGGGATGAAGATACGTTTATGTGTGTTCCTTTTTGAAAATGCAGCATGTACAACAGATCAAAGGGGCCACCCGTTGTGAGATTATGATGACTGCATCCCGTTTCAGGGGAGGTTGTGTTGAAGAACTCTTGATCTTGACGGTTGATGGATGAACACCTGCTGCACAGCTGCTACCCTGCTTGCTGAAATATTTTTAGTCCTGTACTCCGTAGGCGATTTTTTTCGCGATTTGGGTACGCTTAACTTTTCCTCCAGGCGACTCTCGGTATATTAGCAAAAATCGACAGCGAAAACATAAGACAATTGCCTCTACGGAGTACAGGCCTAAATGTTTTATCTTGGTTGGTCTCAGGACCGTCGCGAACGAGCTGGCGGTGGCCGGGCGTAACGGCGGGGGCACCCCCGAGGCCTACCATGTCGCTGTGGAGCACGCTCTGGCAGGCCTACAGCCGTTCAAGGCCGACATCGACGCGAGCGTTAAGATGCAGGGACCTTTGCTCGAGCAGATATTCGCCGAGAACGAGAGGTGAGGGAGGCTTGATGACGAATGTCGAGAGAGGGGGGCGATGTGCAGTATGCGGAACGAAAGAGCAATTGTCGTTAGGCAGACGGCGAGTTTATTTTACGGGTATTTGGGACCCTGTCCACAGCACTACCGTCTTGGAAAGCTGGAGAGGAGGTTGTACCTTTTTTTTGTTTTTTTGGTCTGCACTTCAAATCAGTGCTTACAGCGTTTGTGCCGTTTACTGCAACCCGTTGTCACACAGAAGGGTTCCCATCCCTGAGGCCCCCTGGCCACCCCTCCTGCGGTATCTATGGTACTTTGCCTTCGATTTTTTTATGCGAGGAGAGTGCAGCACTCTCTTCCCTTCGTGTACACAACGAACTAGCGCTTTCCTCCCACTTGATTGAGCCCAGTTTTTTGGCGCCTACATTAGGAGGGAGGGAAGGCACCTCGAAGGCCACTTTTTGGGGGGGAGCGGAAGACGAGAGCCTCTGTACCGTAGGTTGCATGATGCAAGATATCACACCCCCTGGACCGATTGTCAAAACTCGATTCCTCGGAAGAAACGGCAGTGGCGGTAGCCGAAAATTGTGGGGTTGGAACGGTCTCGGTGAGAGCTTTCCAAAGACGTATTGATTGATTTCGGCATCCTCTTGGTCGTGGAGAAATCGAGCTTCGAAAACCGGTCCAGGGGGTGTGTTATACTGTGTCATGCCACCTACGGTATGGAGCTCGTCAAGCCGTCTGTCGCCAGGGCGAGGGAGAAGATGATGCCCCGAGTAGTTATGTTGTCTCGTCGCAAGCAGCTTTTTTGCGTTGAGCGTTGTTGGCGCATCTTGGAATTGCATCGTCCGGGCTACATGCACGTCATCCAACACAGCGGTTGCCGACATGATTGTTGCTGAGCCAAGCTTGTTACCCCTGGTTATTGCCTCCCCCCCCGAGGAACGAATGTCCATCGGTGATCGCGCCTGTGGGAACAACGCTCCGTCCTCTCGAGAGCGCGCAAAGTAGGAAGGAACGATTGGCCATCGGTGGTCGGTCCTGTGGGAACAATGCTCCGTCCTCCTCTCGAGGACGCGTGGTCAATGGTCTAACCGCTAAGGCACGCACAACATAAGAGCACGCCCCTCGCCCCCTCCCCCGTTCGACAGGTTCCAGAAGGCCAGGGCCTCGGACCAAGAGACCCTCGACAGGGAGGCGTTTTTGCAGAAGGTTCACGCGAGTGTGGTGCTGTTCCACGACGTGCATGCTCTCCTCTCCGAGGGGTCCATGTTCTACTCCGACCTGCTGCAGCGGCTGGCGCAGCTCAACCAGACCTGCGAGGACCTGGTTAGTGTGGCCTCGTTGTTGCACGTTGTTGCTGTTGGTGTTGTGGTCGTTGTTGTCGCTGTCGTTGCTGCTGCTGTTGATGTTATCGTTGTCGTTGGTAGGCTTGGTAGTGGTGTTGGTGCTGCTGCTCATGTTGCTTTTTGTTGTTTTTGATGTTGTTGATGTTGTTGGTGATGTTGTGGACTTTTGGCTTGAGGCCTGGCCGGCGATCATGTCCTTAGTCGTGCAAGTGACGGCGTTTGTGCTTGTCCGATGTTGAAGACGGAGGAGGAACTGCAGGTGGCGACGGCGATAACGACAAACGATCTTACTGGTGTTGGTTTCGAGCTTCCTTGTTGGATGGCGTTTTTCCTTCTCGCGTGGGGGAAGTTGTTGGTTGCATCGGAGCAGATGAACAAACTACGAGACTATGTCTCCCCCCCCCTGGAACTGCAGGTGTACACGCAAGCGCTTCACAGGCGAGAGTTCGAGGTGGGCTACACCCATCGACGGGAGAGGGCCCTCAAGGAGGGGGAAGACGCGTCCATCGAGCTTGCTCGCCAAATGGAGTCTCAGGTACAAGAAGGGTTGCAGCTACAATAGCGCCCGCACTCACGACCGCACTTTAAGAACTTGACAATTCATTTTTTTTTTTTTCACTGGAAACCAGTGGCCACAGCACTTGTGCCGTGTATTCCTACCCGTGGTCAAACAGGAGGGTTCCTCTCCCTGAGGCCCCCTAGTTCATGTCCAAAATTATACTTGTCAAACTTGAGCGCCATATTTGTGAGCCCGGTGAAGACTTCGCATTCAGCGGCCATTCGTAGCCCTCGAGAGGGACTGAGAATCCCAGCCTTGACCAGAACTAGAAGATGGTTCTTGAGGGAGGGCGATACAGTCTGCACTCGTGAAGAGGGGGTTCGAAAAAAGACGCCTGGTTTCGCTGGCAAAGTTTCAAGGCAAGGCAGTACAGTGTATTGTAGTGCCCTCTCCCTGTTGGCGTCAGGCCGGTCGTTGTCGTATGGTCCGCAGCAGCAGTGACACGATTCCGTGTGTTTTGTCTGTGCCAAGGCTAGAAAAGTATTGTGTGTCGCGCAGGTTGGTGTCGTGATCGTGGCTCCGTGTTGTACTGTGCATCGTGAATGGAACTGTCGGGCACCCTCTGATCTGGCACCTGCAGAAGCCAAACCAACCCATTAGACTCGTCAGCGCTGACTGGTCTAGTCTGACTGGTCTAGTAGTTTCATGTCGGCTTCTATAGAAGTTAGGCGTGGAGTACGTGTGCCCGGCACTTTCACTTCCGAGGAGGGTGACTCCCCGTGCCATTTGGCTTCTATACGCCGCATACACAGCAGTAGCGGCGTGTGTGCCATCGTCTACAAAGCATCGTGGTGAAGGCGAGCTGGCTTGTGCACTCAGTTACTGGCCACCTCTGTGGCAACGAGAGGGAGGGCCTTGAAGGGAAGGGGGTCCGCCATTGGTAACCCTCGAGGGTACGTACAGGTGTTCCCTTTTTGTGTCCCGACGCTCAAGCCGGTATGATGCATGCCACTCTCAAAACATGTCCGATCGATCCTGCTCCTTTTTCCCTGAATCAAGGCTCTACAAGGACACCAGCAGCAGCAGCCAGGTGGTGGTTGTGCCTCGCCGCCAGCGGCTACCGGCGCCTACCCCGGAGTAGGAGCTCCCGCGGCCGGGGTTGCAGGTGAAAATCTATGGATATGGGATGGGGGGGGGGGGGGGGGGGGG